TAAGAGGAGACTAGATTCCGCCTCAGCACCTCTCATTGTTTGGATTTGCTCTTCGTTCCTCTCCCACATGTATGGTGATCATTTTGTGATTTCTACAGTTGTACACTTGAGTGAGTTAGCTCACCTGTTCGAAATTTTCGCATTTTTCGCTTCTATCATCGCTTAATCACTCTCTCTCGTTTTTCCCAACTCGTTTGCTCTTGGTATTTAATTTTCCCTCCTGCTGTCCATGTATTTGCTCACGCCTTTCCAGTATGGATTTGCTTTTCATCTAATCTTGACCTTATGCTTTTCGTCTCGCTTCTTCGATACATTTATAGCCTCATCTGTTGAAGGCGTTCTAGTTCCAGTAGCCAGCGCTAACAGTAAGATGACTTCATAGTCAGTGGCGAAGCTTAAGATTAATTTATGGCTGTAGCTCCTTCTACCACCCGACTTCGTTCATCTCTTTACATCCTCACGATGTCTCCTTGTTATTCTTAATGCGGATATCTGCTTCCGAATTTTCGAATCGCTTTGTTATACCCCACGTTATCTACCTCCAGATTGCGCTCAGTTAATATTTTCAGAGGCGTTCTTCCATGCCAGTTGGCAAATTTGCCACGGCCCTTTCATTCGCCGTAGCTACCGCTCTATGTGGTTAGTTTTTTGTTTCCTTTCTATAATCTCATGAATTGGCTCCTAAACTAATGTTTTTCCTTACAAGCTTGCGCCGTCTCCTTGAGCGACTTTTAAAGATATTCAATCTCTAATGTCCTCATTGCCATGATTTTCGATATTGTTGTTGTGAGAAGCCCTCTCGGATGAGATTGGGCTTGGATTTTCAAATTTGCAACGGAAAATGTTAAGAGGTTTTTTGAGTTCTAGGCAAATCCTGTACTCATTCAACTGTATTATAAGGGCCTTCCTAGACACTTTTGAAAGCTAGGTTTTTTGTTATCTCGAACTGATCGAATCTTTTTAAATAATTGCTCGGGAAAACACCTTGAAGTTGTTAGGAAGGACAGGTGTTAGCCCCCCCACAGCAGGTGTTTTCGGTGTCCTCGATAGGTTCACATTGGGTGGTGGTGGTTGCAGATGAGAGCATTGAGTGACCGTGAATGATCGGTGTGTTTGTACTTTGATGCTTTCTGTTTTGAGTAAATCTTGAAACTATATTTACGGGATAGATTCTGTTACTTTCAACGGCGTTGGAGTTTCTTTCATTGAGATTCTAATTAGATCAATTTGGAAAAATCTAGATCAAGTTGTACGGTCAGAGTGCAGCCAGGAAAGATTTCAAATATTTCGTCAGAAGGCTTGAAAATCAAAACGGCCATCGAAGGTGAAGCAGGGGTGATGTGTCACCAAGATCTTTATCTTTTCGGCCCCGTTATGCAATCGATGTGCTGAGCAGCAGTGACAGTTATGATGGGCGTTATTGATTTACTATTAGTCATCAAAATCAATTTGTTGAGATTTATTTGAGCTGGTTTGTCATTCAATGGAAAGCTTTCTCCCACAAAAATTATAGAAGAGCTGATTAACAGAGCAGTGAATGATAACGCTTTTATAGCCCATTCTCTCCTTCCTGCTTTGTTTGGGTCAAACATGTGGGTTGATGAAGATTCAGCGTCATTGGGTTGATTTTCCGATAATACTAGTTTTGAGTCTCATTGGATTGGGAATTCGCTATTCTACGATCACCTCGGAAGAATCTTTCATTTCTGCCCCATGATTACTTAATTTCCTTTTATGACCACCGATCGTTGTTGGGCGAAGGGCGAAGAGCGAAGGAGACCTGCCCCTTGTCTCGTTTCGCGAATTGCACGTTGAGATGGGATGGGAGGAGGTTCCTAGCTTCTGTTGTGTAGCAGTATTTGAGCCCTACATTGAGGGAGTAGAATAATGTCCGTAACAATGGTGTTTGCTCGCATAACGAAATGATTTGCTACACGTTGGGGAGAGAGGGAATCGAATTAACGTTCCCGCTTTTATCGCCAAGGAGTTGCCCATCAATGTTGGCATGTTGGCATGTTTTCTTTTCGAGTTTACCAATTAAGCTCAGTACTCACCGTATTACCTTCTAATGAATGCCCTCGATTATCGGATTAGCGGTCTGTGTTGTTTTCCGTTTTCCTCTCCCAGAGTGAATTTGGAGTTCAATATCGGAACATTAGACCGGTCACTCTTGTTAGGCCGTCTTTTCATGAAAATGGCGCAGACCTCATTCTTCATTATCATTCAAATTCGAATTCGAACGATTCAAGACAAGATTAGGATAAAGTTTTGAATTATGAGGATCGGATAGAAAGTGAATGTGCCTTTTGTTCACTTTTGAATTCGGCGTTCCTCATTGGAGTACGCTGGAATCATCATTGGAGTACGCTTCATGCTTTATAACAACGGCCTGTACTATTGGAGATTTGCTATACACCTAGTTGACACAGTGATCGGACGCGTGATCAGTATTCACCGATGTCGGCGAAGCAGGCACCAAATGGAAAAAACTATGTCATCTACTACGGCGAGAACCTCCGAAACAGTGCCTGCTTAGGAGCTCCAACGCTGTAGAGTTCAATTTGGGTGCCGGTTTTTTTTTTGAAAAAATGAGCCTACATTACCTCGAGAAGGGAGAGGGGAAGGGGGTTTAATGTAGAAGTAGCTGTAAAATAGTCTTGGAATGCCATTTTTCACAAAATACATCTAGAAGGGTTTCTGCAATGTATTAATCAGGTCGCTTATTGCAGTCTTTACACTTTGGTACTGGATCTTATGCCTTGACGATTATCTCTGTAGCATGGAGAACCAATCGTGGAAAGCCTTTTGCCACAGCTGCCGACAAACGCTCGAGAATTTGTGTTGTACAGAAAATTGTCAAAAACATCTATAATTAATAGTAAGGAATGGAAACTGCTTTGCTGGAAGTATTGAATTTTTTTGCTATTTTTTGGCTTACGATAATGATTATATTAGTGCTCTTACAACGGAGGGAAATAAGTTTTCAACTGATGGCTAAATACCAATTCACGGGACGGAATTAATTGAAACTTCGGCAAGATTAATTGCACCGGCAGCATTGACACATTTATGTCTCTTTGAAGGCAACGAATTGATACCACGTACACAGGGATGGTGATCACAATCGAGCCGTGTACTATGATTTCTATGCAAATGATTAATGACGCGAAAATTGTTGCTTGGGAATGGCTAGGATGATCGAGGGGTTTTGATGTTGCATTGAACAGGGCACTTGAGGCCGGCAAATGGTTCAGTTCAGTTAGCTCGAGTTGCCTTCAATCATATTCGCTTTGTGAGGCTATGCCCATTTCAGTAGTACAGCAGATTGCGCTTTTGCCTTTTTGTAAGTGCTGCAATGCACCGACAAGGTGTAGGGGTATCTTAGCAATTGCAATATGGTTCTTCTCAAATTCGTGTCAGAAACGAAGATTTTTCCCCCAAGTAAAGAATCCTATCTGTGGATGACACTCATTGCTCCATCTAACGGGAGAACAGTTTTTTTCCGATTCTTATATCATCGATTCGAGCTTGTCTAAGGTCATGCTATGAATCAGACGTGGTCCACTCATTCACGGCAACAAGGCCCGAAACTTGAAAAGGGAACGATTTTTTGACGGGTTATTTACTGCATAGGGAACGTTGTCTTGGGATTCGTGAAATAAAATTTCAGGATTTCATTACATCGGTTATGGTGGTTGTAAAAATGTGTCCGAGGTATTTATCTTCGAATTGGCTGAGATCAACTTTGTTAGAAGGATTATTTTCTTAGAAATCGTACTCTGAATGTCCGAGTGTGTGTCATAAATAGACCCTTATAAATTTGTACTTCGTTTTCTTTTGGTTGATTTAGATTCATTCAGAAGAGCGATTTTATGTACAGAATGGCTGATCGAATGGAAAGAGCGAAGAATGTAAATGAGCTTGCCTAATTGCACTTTTAGATTCTCGAGACTTGCACTTTTTCTTCTTTTTCCCGTCTTAAACGAGCTTTTTATAGGAAAGAAACTGCACCGGTCTTTTGGGATGGTGAGAAAGTCTATATAGGCAAATGTTATAACTTAAAAATCTTGATCAATGCTAAACCGTAACGATAATTCCGTTCCTGGAGGGAGGCATGTGAATACGATAAAGCGTTTTCGAAGGAGTTGCCTAAACTGCTCACAATGGCTGGAATACAAATGCATCTTCTGACTTTGGGGATCAGAGAACAGCCTGGCTACTAATTTGTTCCTTTTGGTGAGGTTTGATTTCTGTTTTGACTGTGACTGTTCATGAATCTCAGTCCGCTCTTTACTAAGAACCGTGAGTTTGTAGAAATGTAGAATGTGAGTATGAGTAATGGTGTCGAGGTGATTATTTTCTTTCGGAGGGTTTTCCTTTCCGGCACATCCATACTGACATTGGAAAACTTTCAAGACTTGACTAATTTGGTATGCGATTCCAAAACGGCTATATTGTAAATGCGAAATATTCAATTGTCAGGGAATCTCATTCCAAATGAATAGCGGCGAATCCTTAAGACCATAGAGAGAATATTTTTCGAAGCAAACAACATTCTCCAAAACTGGAACTGCTCAAAATGTTTAATAGCATGAGTAGCGTGTCAAAGAAAAAGAAATGAAGAAAAGCCAGAAAGAAAACATATGCAGCTTAAATGAGACTCTTTTCATATCACAACATTTCCGTCTTTATGCGTGCGGCAATGTAATAATAGAAAGCATCAGAAACTCTGCTGCTACTGCTAATTCTACTCGCCTTAATGTCTGTCGAAAAGATATGTATCTACAGAGTTAGGCCACCTCTCAGCTTGGCTGGTCCTCTAGTCCTTATCGCCCATCCCTAGGCCTTTATCGGCACGAAAAAACCTTACGTAATTTCAGTTTAGAATAAGCAAAACGGAATCCTACATTTAGCTGTGTCCTTGAGTTAAGTCAAACAGAAATTCAATTGCACGGGAAGTATGTATCGGAAATAAGGTTTAAAATACGGTCGTTTCAGGTGCAACGGTCGATTGGGCTTCAATATCGACTCCGCCGCGATTTGTACACGAACCGAACGGGCCGATCCTTTACTACAAAGTAGAAAAGCATGGTACCGAACAAAGCAAGGCGCCCGACAATCTTTTCCAGATCACAATTCGATGTGTAGCTGAGGGTAACCCTAACCCATCGTAAGTTTTGAAGTCGACTGTTGGATGTTCCTTTCTCCTATGATAACTTAATCTCCTTTGAACTTCGATTTCAATTTACATTTGGAACTACCAGATAAGCTTTCCAGGACAGTAATTAGATGAACGCTGTTTTGTTTAACATTAACTTATTTGATATCTTATGATGAGAAAACGGTAAAATAGCGTATCATAGCACCTTCAACATGCAGGCATAATGCTACAGATTCAGATGCTAAGGATTAAGGTCTTACCGAACTACATACTCTCTGAGATTTTGTTTTTCCTCAGCAATAGTCTGCGCCTAATTCGGTATCGCCATCATCATAGTTGTTTTATGGTGCTTTAGCTATCCAACAGTCGCATGGACTTATGTTTGGAGGGTGCCGAACATGTGGACGAGTTTGATCTCTCATCTCTCAATGAAACCAATATGATGCTTTTTTGGCTTTTGCGACTTGGCGCTATAGAAGTGGTTTTTTCCTTTGTGTTCCTAGGTCTAGACGTATAATGTCACGGGCGTGACAGCAACGATGATGATCGACAAAAAAAACTCATGAATAATATTGAAGTAGTTTGGACTAGAGTAGTAAACAATAATTCGTCAAATTTTCTCCATGCCACTCTGCTCAGATTGCGGGCGAAAACCTTGTGAAAATGTGAAGAAGCCTTTGATCTAGTGGTAGGAATTGTGTGGGACCCATTTGTCATGGTGACAAACGGAGCACACTTATCTATAGTCGACAGCAGTGATGACGAGCAGAAGCTGTTTCCTAAGAAACTACTCATTTCTTTGTGCCTTGAATGTTGGACCCTGATCAGAGTAAAGATAACGGTAGAAGACGTACAATTCGAAAGCAGTCATCATATTGGAATATGGGCAAGTCTACCTGGTTCCTAGTTTACACACTGCCTTGAGCTGGCGTTCCAAACACACTAACAAACGTGAGTGGGTCTTGCTCAAATACACAGCCCTATCTCTGCTTCCATAATCTGCGATTTTTGTTCTTTATCTGCCGCAGTTACTGATGTACCGATCTCCGCTCAGGGTTTTGGTGACGTTGTTTTGAAGTTAAGGATTACCGCAAAAAGAAACAGAAACAAGAAGTTATTGTAGAGGCAACATTAGGACAACTCATTCGGAGGATTACCGCACACAGTTGTTTGGTGTGAAAGCAGGCAGCATCAACAAATGAAACTCTTTGCACATTGGTGACGCTGCATTTATTAGACTGGTAGTAGTCGGAAGGTGTGAGATTAGGGCCGAGGTGGATGAATAGAATTTTTCAGCCCAGACGGCCCAGATTCATGATGCTCTTCTTCGCATTGATGAGCTCATTCGACCCCCCTTTCGGTGTCGAATCATCTTCTAATGGCGTGTAAATGAAGGATGTTTTTTCTTGGTCACATCCAATACCGCTGCAATGTCTCCCGTCCTTTGGCACGGACCCAAACCGACTGCCCTCTTACGGCATTCTTGTCAATGGTTGAAGTGGCGCCCATGCTTTTCACTGGTATGGCGTTCAGCTTCAGCTCTAAAAGTTGGAGATCAACTACTGAACCGCCTCATGGCGTTCAGTTTAAAGGCCTCGCCTAAGTTACAGTGGGACTGTCTGGCTCGAAGCGGTGCGCAGCAGGCAGGCGCGCCGTGGAAATTTCGGGGTCATTTAATAGGATTTGTCTCTGCTACAAGTAGCAATGAATTCTACGCTATGGTATATCAAGCGCACTATGTCGAATAACTGCAGGAGGCGTTCCAAAGTCATTATCAGCGCGGGGATCCAAGAAAAACATGTGCTCATTTTTCTCAACCCGATATTTTGCCAGTATATTCCAAGTGTCCCACTTTCTATTACCTTCGGAGTGGAAATCATTGCTTGGACAAAGCTGGGAATCAAGAAGAAGAGAAAAGGTACTGGCGAGGCAAAATGGTTTTCTTATTCAAAGTTGTGACGGCTGACAAGTACTTTGACAATTGCTACTTTTGTGACATCAACTTCTGGACAGCGTAGGGGTGAAAAAATGATGAGGCGCTTTAAGTGGTGTGAAGCTGGGCAAAATAGGTTCAATATGGAATTCATTTATCATGGGATTAATCTAAGTTAGTTGTTAAATAGTTCTCACGTCAGATGAAGATGTGCAAGTGAGAAGAGACTACTTGTATGTTCTGTATACTTAAATTGCATTGCATGAGCATTTACTCAAAAATTGTTTCTGTCATTGTGCCTCTTCTTTCTGGAAAAAGATTACTGTTTTTCTGAAACTTTCACCAACTTTGCTATCCTAGGTATCGATGGTTTAAAGATGGAAAACCCTTCAACGCTGCTATGTACCCTGAGAAGTTGGTTCAGATACCTGATGAAGGTTAGTTTATGGTCAGTGATGTCAAGCTCACTCTTGTCAGACTCTTTGACTACCTTCCAAAGCTCTTTTGATTTGGTAATTGTGATAGAGGTCTGAACACTTATATGAACATTCGAGAACTTCAGGGAACATTTTCCTGATTAACGGCACCACGGGAGAGGCTTAAAAAGCCTCTTTGGGGTTATCTTCGGCCATTCTTCGCTCAATGTGATATATGTTAATTCTTCAATTCATTTAAAATGAAGTTTTGTATTTCAGGAACTCTTATTTTTACTAAGCTCGACGAATCCGATGCAGGAACGTACCAATGCCAAGCCATGAATGACAACGGCACTGCAGTCTCGTTTCCTACGAAATTAGAACAAACATGTACGTTTTTTTTCCTCTTGCAACGGTGAACCTTTTTTCGTTCATCTGTGGTTTGCGTAGTTCACTCAAAAGGGTAAGATTATAGTGTCGGATAGATATTTAGAGAAAATACATGTTTGCAAAAAGAATCACCTCACGTGTGAGCCATCACACTTAGGATTCATAGGCGCTGAGACTCCTCTGCTGATACGAAAGGAGTAACGAGCCTCCCGTTTCTTACACGTTACCATACCCCATCAGCTCTTGATATCATTTTCTCACACTCATATAGGTGTATATCAATTCCAGAGAACATGGTTTTCTTATTTTTCACAAGATTTTTATGAAGAAAGGTGCTATCTGTTCTGTGTATGAAAATCTCTGGTACCCAGCTGTGGCTCATAACTACCTCGATCGCTTGCATGACTTGATGCGGGTCTTGATATCCCGATGTTTCAATGAATCAAATGATTTTAAACTGTTTCCGAGAAACTCTCATAGTTTCGCATGATCACTAGTTTCCGGAATAAGAGGCCATGAAGAACTGCTCGTGTAAATTTACTTTCTGCTCCGTAACCAGTATCCTCTGTAGTAAGGTGCATTATCTGTAGGTTACCCTTGATCACTAGTTTTCGGAATAAGTGGTCATGAAGAGCTGTATCTGTTCTGTGACTCTGTAGGAGGGTAGCATTCTCTGTAGGGCATCTTCCTGATGCTATCACTATCAATGATGCTGAAACTAGCAGTTCGGTGCAAAGCGTATAGCTTCGTTGTTTCAAATGTTGGGTTGATGTATAACTATTGCGGGTTTTTTCGCGGCTTCTTTTCTCTCGGTACAATTAGAATATTGAACATTTTTAAAGAAATAATCTTCATGCTTTCCTTAACAGAAATGCGGCTAGAAAATCATTTTCACATTCGCCATATTGTGCTCTACCAATTGGAGAAATGTTGGAAAAGGCGGAATCATTTTGCATTTTCAACAAACTTTTCGGCGGTGTACAAATCAGCCAAGGCTAAGTAAGGAACGGGATTTGCTCCTAAATCCGCTATATTCACCGACAGAAACTCCTATGAGCGAATTCGAAGCGTGGGTCGCCTTCAAGACTCATGACATCCTCGCCTATGGAATCCAACTGCCTAGCAAATGGGGGACGTAGATGATGACAGTTTCCGGAGTAATTATTCAAACATGTCTTTGCTAAATATTTTTATCGTTTCTTTAAACAGAATTTGTTGAAAAAAAAAACCAATAATTTTGCACCGACCCAGTAGTTCTCCGTTCCATTCGATAGGGACAGCTAGCTGTGACCGTCTTCTCAGATAGCTACCGTCCATCGTGTTATGTCTGACCTTCAGGTACTGTGTAACTTTTGAACGAAACCACGGAAAATCCGACCGATTCAAAATTTTATTAAGAATATAAGAGTATTTTGTTGAAAGTAATAACATGTCATTATTCAATGCTCACTAGTTTTGTTTCCGAGAAAATACTGGCTGCGTGACTAGGATGCATGCGAGCTCTGTGACCCTTTTGTTGAATGTGTTCGTGCCCTGACTGAGGTCGTCTCAGTAGGGTCTTTCCCCGTCAGGAGCAATGTATCACTGTTGATCAGCATTGTTTCACTGGTAACAATTGAGCTCAATGGGGTGTCCTCCAGCGTCAAAAGGGTACTTGAGCAACTCGTGTATCCATGTCCTCTTCCTTCGGTTCGTCTCTCTGTTTCCTGTTCTGAAAATCGTTCTATAAGATTGAAATGAATCATAGAGAAACGGATAAAGTTCTCGGCTAAATCAACTCCGCATCTGAGATGGGCCCCCACTCGACTTTCTTTGAGAATAGTAATGGCGGTTTAAATACGTATGGGACCTATGCAGTGACTTTTAAAATGCGCATGCGTTCTATGCAATGACTTCTGGTATCCTGCCGATATTCAAGTCAGTGCTTCTATCTTCCCAGACGTGTTTAGTACCAATTGAACGACCCCGAAAGTATGGAAGTCTTGGTTGCGCTTAGCGAGAATCTATCGAGGATTAGAACAGTGGGCCATGCGTGTGATAGTGCGCCACTGCCCTGTACACCACCTACGCCGTGAAATGATTCAATAAATAAGTGTATATCCTCTGTATCAATATGTGTAGTGAAATTGATGACCACCACGGGACTGCAGAGCAGTCTGAGGGTTCCCTCCCAGATAAAAAAGTCAAAGGCTCGATAGACAAAAAAGCCTCGAGTAGAGGCGTAGTAAAAAATCAAAGTAGGTGAAACGGATCGCCAGTTTTTGAGGGGTGAGCTTTTAGATGAATAGCGGTTATAAAGGGAAACCAACGGGTGCTACGTGGACCAACAAGTGAGGGGTTTTCCACACGACCAGCTCTTCTCCTACTCTACTCCTGTAGCCGACTACAAAATGGTTGTCTCGTTACACGGTTTCTTTTGGTGTCTTCACAGTATTTCCTTTTTTCATCTACTCGGAAAAGGGTCTTCGACTCCTTGACATTGATTTCCTAATAATGAGTGGAAATGCATTGTGTTCTTCCATGCAATAGGGATTTTGTAGTAGCCTTTTTGCCTACTCAGCATACTTCTGGCGATCTATGCTGTTAGCCGACCGTCAAAAGTTGAACTAACTCAAAAGACCGAGGACACGAGGTGATTTATAAAAAAACCCTTTTTCTGCAGATACTTGCAGATGTGTTCAAGGTGGAATATGAAATAGATTGATTCTTTTGCTGTTAGTGACTTATCAGCCGTTGTACTGATGGGATCGGTCTACACTAGTGAAGCTGCACGGTGTCATAGGTAGAGTTAGATACGGCTAGCATGGCTAGAGTAGGAACTGAGGCTATTCAGGGAGATTTAGCCCACATAACAAAACTTCTTCCGCTTTTGCTTTTGCCAGTTTGTGGTCATCCAGTTACGGCTTCTGAGGCAGCTTTTCAAATAGAGCCCTCCAGTGAGGCTGGTGCAGGCTATATTGGACTCGAACTTGGCATTTCGAATAATCTTTTCAATGATGTTGACTTTGCATAAGTCGGCTCTACACTGAGAGATTTGCTACATTTTTTCAGTTGCGAATTTTTTTCTCTTTCTTTTTTATATAGTAGCTGCTTTCAGATGCACTAGCCAAGTCGCCTGAATAAGGCCAAAATATAGGTGTTTTCCACAGTCTCGGTGCTTTGCAGCATTCATGCTTTGCTTTGTCATTTATCTTTTGAGCTCATATCAAGTCTCAACTACATTTGAGGGCAAGGAGTCCTGTTCTACGTTTCGGTAGAAAATATCTGACCTTTCTGTTGCATCTTAGAATTGAGTATTGAACGCAATCCATTTTGCGATGCGCTTTCTATTTGAGCGATAAATTAGACTACTGAACGAAACGACTTTAACGCAATTACCTCGAAAGGATATTGCATCGTGAATCCACGTAGACCGGCTAGATTGTCGCGAGTGAGGGAAAGCTTAGGGATTTCTTTGTCATTCACACACGTGGGATTTCTTGCATTCTCGGCGGGTTTGGTCTCGGATCACTGAAGCGGCTCTCCCCTTCACTGCACAGGTGTAGGTCGTCGTGATATCGACGGAGAGGAGGGGTTAAGCATAAAACTACTTCACCCATATCCATTTGAGTAATATTAACCAGTCATAACCATGTAGTTCCATGGTAATTATCCTTTGATCACTTCTCAAAGGATAAAGCATAAGGTCTTGGGGCGTTCATCAGTGCCGTCTGAGGATTGCGCCCACGCATTCGACTTCCATTTTGAATCGTAGTGGCGTATTGGATGCGTATGTTGTTCATACAATGACTTGCGATGGCCAGCCGATGTACAAGTCAGTGCTTTTATCCTCCCAGACGAGCCTGGTCCCAATTAATCGATCCCGGAGGGATAGGAGGCTTGGTTGGCCTATGGAGTAGTCGAACCCGTGATCATGCGTTGTCATGTGTCGCTACCCCACCACCGCCCCTAAACACTTCTTATGTTGTAAAATTGGTAATGGTTTGATATCTTTTTGACAATTCACGAGCAGTTGACAGTTGAGTCATCAGTAAAATATGTTTTAATCATGAACATTGAAGCCGTTACAATCCCGTGGAACTACCATGTTCACGTGCTTATGAACAAAAGGAGCAGCTTCCTAGAGAGTCTTTGTTTGATGCCAGATTCCATGGCTTGCATGAGTGAAAACGAACAGAAATGCTGTTGCGAACTTTGGTACTCCGTACGACCATGGTTAATACGCTGATCT